GGAATAGTTTTTACACATTATTTTGCGTTATTTTACATATGGAAATAACTTTTATTACAGACATCTTAGTCGTGTATACTATGTTAATAAGCTTTGTTATAGAATATTGTATAGTGTAATATAAATTGGGTTAAACTATGAATAACATCAACGCCGAAGAACGCAGTTTGTTTCAATTTAGCTTCATAATTTAGCTTGAGAATGTGTTATATTATGAATAAAGTTTATGTATGGAAATTCTTCTGCTGCTTTGAAATGGAAACCGTTCGCATAAGATGAGATTTCAGTTTGATTAAAAGTTTTCATCTTCGTCACCAATAGCTAAACACTATTTTCAAGTGCATTACTATTCAGATTAGTAGGAGACAATAGTAAATACTGTGGTAGTTATAGTATTCCTTCATACTGTGTTATTTTAATGTTAAAAATATTTCTGTGCTAAACTAACTATGAAGTATGAGAACATTTAAATCCTTAACATTGGTTGCCTCATGTGCTGACATCATGAAAATAATTTAGGTTACTATATTTTCCATCAGAATTTATAGTTCTATCATCATCGTGATTCTGAAATTCTTTCTTAATTCGTTGGGTAGACTCGTTAAAGTATCTAAATACAGTTAGGCAAACCACGTTTAGACGAGTCCTTTGTATTGTTAAAATGTACATTTTTCTCTGTGACTGTTTCATCTGTAAGTAAAATAGGAACCTAAATTACTCTTGATTCTAGTTAATTACCTGAACATCACCACTCATAAACGAATAGGTGACAGATATTTAAATTTGGTTTGTTAATTCTTTCGGCAAATCGTATCTATATTATATGTATATATGTCTAAGGACTCATTTATAATCGTAAAATACCAACTTTTTTCTCGGTCCTGTATTTAGACTGAGTTGAGGAACAAGGTCGTACTGTACAACCTTGTATGGACAAGACTGTCTGAAGTGGTTCTTGTAGAAACAGACAAAAGGCTTCGTCTAAATCCGATAAATCAGTTTCAATGAAAATCTAATGATAAAATAATTTCATGGAGTTTACTTTGAAAACACAATGGAGGTATATATAGCAAGGGTTGTACAATCATAATGATTTCAAAAGTCAATGGTTCAATCTTCTATTAAATGTTCCAATCGGTTGTGCGGAATTATGAAATGAATGCATTAGTCAGTTTGTCAACGGGAACGTAAATATTGTAAGTACCCCTATGACAAGTACATAAAAAGTGAATTTTTATGAGTGTAATCAGTTCAGCAATTTATAGTATTTTATATCAAATGGTTAAAATATATTAAACCGTTCCGCTACTTTTCTAACACACTGTAACTATCTATCTATATTATTAATACGCTACATGAAATTTTGTGAACAATAAGGCTTTTTGTTTTCAGATTTAACCCCACATATTATATACCAAAATGTTCGTCTAGGTGTGTAGATTTGCAAACTGGCCTATGTTCGTCTAGGTGTGTAGATTTGCAAACTGGCCTTTCATTTTCGACAAAGTTTAGCTCTGCCCCTGTGGCGTTTAGAGTTCCCACGTTATCCTTATGAAGAACATATTTTTTACTTTCTCCCCCTATACCATAGTATATGGAGAAAGTATTGTTTTCGTCAAAATTTTCGAGTTTGAGTTTTGAGTGGATATATTCGTTTTGGGTCCCCTTGGACCCAAAAAAGTGGTTTTCGAAGTGATGTCTGTGTGTGTGTGTGTGTGTGTGTGTGTGTGTGTGTGTGTGTGTGTGTGTCTGTGTGTCTGGATGTGTACAGAGCTAGAGACTACACCTGTGGTTTGATTTCGATGAAATTTGGTATGTAGGTTCAAATCCATGGTATCTCCAGGCGTTTTTTTCATTTTTTTTTGAAATTTGGATTTTTAATGGGGATTTTCCCATAAAAACCCATAAAAAACCGGAAAAATCAGATTTTCTAAAAAATGGCCCGAACGATTTTGATTAAAATTTAGTATGTTGTAGCCCTTTAAATTCTAAACGAAATGGTACAAATCCCATTTCTGTAAAAATTACGGTTCAAAAGTTATGGTAAATTATGTTATTTTCCCATAAAAACCCCATAAAATAACGAAAAATTGGATTTTAGACAAAAATCCAGTTTTGACTTAACAGTAGGTTATGGTCCTTAAAATTTTGATAGTTTTTTTCATTTTTTAGAAGCTTTGATTTTAAGTGGGGATTTTCCCATAAAACCCTATAAAATAACGGAAAAATATGATTTTCTCAAAAATGGCCCGAACGATTTTGATTAAAATTTAGTATGTTATAGACCTTTATATTCTGAACAAAATGGTACAAATCCCATTCCTGTAATAATTACGATTCAAAAGTTATTGTAAATTATGTTATTTTCCCCATAAAACCCCCATAAAATAACGGAAAATCGGATTTTCCCAAAAATGGCCCAAAACGATTTTGATAAAAATTTGGTATGTTATAGTCCTTTATATTCTGAACAAAATGATTCAAATCCCTTTTCTGTAAAATTACGGTTCAAAAGTTATTGTAAATTATGTTATTTCCTCATAAAAACCCCATAAAATAACGGAAAAATCGGATTTCCCAAAATTGGCTTGAACAATTTTGATAAAAATTTAGTATGTTTGTTATAGTCCTTTAAATTCTGAACAAAACTGTACAAATCCCATTTCCGTATATTTACTCTCACAGCTTACACATGATAAAGGTTGTTGACAAACTTATGGGAGAAAGTATGTGTCAGATTGCTGATACCGTTTATTTTACATTATGATCAGGTAACTAATTTAATTGTTGTTAATATTTTATTTGCAATTTAAGGAAAAGTTAGCTACAAACATTTACTGACTTTGTTGAAATATTTACTATTTGAATTTGGGTTAGCATAAATATGAAATTGGAAAAAAAGCAAGAAAGCCTGAACAATGTGATATACTATAAATGCAATTGAATTTAAACTGTGCTGCATTTCTTGAGCAATCATTGAAAGAGCCGATTATCAAACGATGGAAATGTAGGAAATTCACAGTACCCCACAATGTAGAAAAAATAGAAATAATGCTTTTTATTATTTATAACCGTTATAACCGTTACTATGTACAACCAAATGCGGCCATAAGTGGGAAACGTATGTATAAAACGCAAAAAACAAGATCAGCTTTTGAAAAATGATAAGATATTTACATGAAATTTTGATTGTATTGAACTGTTACGTACATCGTGAGTATTTCCATAATCTTTGAGTTGAATTTTTTAAAGTCATCGGAAATTCTGACTGATATTCGCTTTAAAATAATGCCTGTAGTACTTAGCAATTGCTCGAATTTGAGCAACAGGTACACTAATATTTTTTTTCAGTTCAAAGACGAAATAAAGTGTAGCCTTCCTACTGTTACATTTATTAATATTGGTTACCTCAAATATGCCGAATCCGTTGTATAGCTTATTACACCCCTTACATCTTATCTTAACTTACAAATTTTAATCTTTAGCAACGGATTTGTGGATTCTACAACCTTTAGTATTGAACTCACTTATAATATTAATATTATTATTTTTTTAGCGAATTTCCCATAAAGGGAATAAGCTATTACCGTAGGTCTCATGCTAAGACCTAGACCCGGGACCGATTTACTTTTTCGTTTTGAGGTCCCCAGAGACCAAAAACACCATCCGTTCAAGTTCACATATATATATATATATATATATATATATGCACATATATGCCCGTTAGCGCGATAACTCTAGCAAAAATGATCCGATTTTGATGAAATTTGGTTCTAACGTGTAAACCTACGTTTATTCGAACGAGTTCGCGAACCAGCATAATCGGACCATGGGAACAGGGGTTTATGGGGGGTTTTATGGGGTAAAATGGGGTTTTCCCATTTTTTCCCCAAAAACTAAAAAAAATTGCAATTTCTTTCTCAACTATTTTGTAGAGCTTAAAAAAGAAATAAATTAGTATATTGAAGCGCTGTTGTATGCCTAACGGTCACGGAGAAAATTCAAAAAACAGTGTAATTTAAAATTCCCATGTTATTTTTATGCAGAAAATGAAAACCGTTGTAGTTTACTTGTTTATGGATATATATTGATAAAATTTGACAAATTTATTTATTTCATCCTATACTATTGACATATGGTAAAAGAAAAACACTTTTTACCTTCCCTGTAACAGCAAACCTAAGCACTCGCTAAATCTAATGTTATTTAAATTGGGAATAAATATGTCATATGGAAATATTTTAGTAAAAATGTATTCAGACAAGTTGAAATTCGCTTAGTCTGCAGGTTTACTGCGGAGGGGGTATTTTTCTAACTATTGTATTATTGGACACACTCCCCATTAGTGTTCATAGTGTTCTTTAAACATTGAAAACGTTCTTTTAAATAGATCGGGAAATATATCAAGATTGTAGATCCAAATTGGTTTAGTAATTTCTAATCAAATATGTAATGACTGGACGCCTAGAAGTTAATAGGAAAAACTCAATAATTGATTACAAATTTGGTTAAAAACCTAAACTAATATTACAAGTGATTTTAAACTACCTAAACATAAACCTGTGTTGATTTGCCCAAGAGCTTACTTTTGAAAACTTAATAGAACTTATTTTGTCCTTTCTTGTTATATCGTTTTGATTTTTTACTAATATCAATTCAATGTTTCTTTGTCATTGTTATAATCAAAAAGCATTTAAACGATTCTACATTTATTTAATTTTTAGAGTTCGATTTCAGTGTTTTTTCGTGAAATCACTGCGTAGTGTTTAGAAACTTATTAAACGAAAGTTTCTTCTTCTAAACTGAATATCATGTTCCGTTTATCAGACGAAAATATAATCATGCCAATTTTAGATTTAGAGATAAGGTTTGGTACATTGAGTTGAAACTATTCAAATAAAAACACTATATAATACTAGTAATTTAAATATTTAATATTTTTTGAACAATTATTATAGTTCAGTATCTAATTATAAGTTAATTTAAATTTGTATACTTACATGAGGTGGCCAGCCTACAGAATATCTGACATGATCTGAAAAAATCGTATTTCCTTTGTGAAAACTATATTACTTATTTATACATTTCGTTTTAAATTAGTAAGATGGATTTTGAAACGTCAAGGATGAATTTGCAAGTTATAAAAATGTAAATGTTATTAAAATTCATACTTTAAAAATATCTCTAGAATTTGTTCAGAAACATGCAAGTATGTAAATAGTTACATAGAAGGATATCAAAGTATAATATTTGTAAATTTAGACGAGAATTTTGTAAAACATCATAAATATTTAAGAAATATCTGTAAGTAAACTTTTACTTTCAAATATGTAAATTTACAAAGCAAACAGTTGATGAAATAAAAAAATCCACTTTCCAAAGTTATAAGTAATAATTAATAATAAGTTATAATTTATTAGCTAAACTGGCGCACGATCGATTTAATCGTGTGCAATCTAGACACAGGAAAAGCAGGACTAGATGTGGAGATGGTGGAAACCCTAATTGAGTTCTAGTTTACTTGATTTTTTTTGTGAAAGTCGGTAAAAGATTAATCTTGTGATTAAGCATTTGTGAAGATTAGTGGCAAATTTAGAGTGAAGATGAATGGTTTGATTAATCTTCTTTAACTTAAATAATTATTTAGGATTTAATAGATTTTCTGTATAGTAAAATACTGATTTTTATTGTTTAAAAAACTGAAAATGATACCATGCGTACACCAAGTGTGTGTATGAACAAAGGCTGGTTCTATAAGCACTTTCCATTCCAACAAACCTAAGGACTGTCCTTGAGATTTACTGATGTTCATGGCAAACGAAGAAATAACTGGGAACAGACCTTTCAAGATCAAAAGTGAGGAGAGCAGAGCTCAAGCTGCAGTTTGATCCAAGGAATCAGTATTTACTTGCCAGACGATGATCCTGAGTGTTGAATCCCGACGATGGCCATGATGACTGATGAGCCCCGACCACCTCAAACTCGATGGTGTTGTGATAGATTCTTTAAACACTCGTACACGTCACTTTAATCAAGCCTGGCGACATATCAAGATTAACATAACAATGACGTTTACTTGAGCTTGAGAGGTAGACGGCTAACAGAGAGGCTGTTACAGTATGATAACTATTTTGCCCAGAGTCGTTTCCCATAGTAAGTACCTTATCGCTGCTTAAATATTGTTGGAACTGGTCAGGAATATTGTCCATGATCGCGCTACAGTATTAACTTCGTAGCAGTCTTCATTTTTGAACACAAAATGTCGCGGGCAATTATGTCTTGCTGTTAAGGATCGCATACACGTTCCATTAAATATTAGCAACATGATTGTCCGAACCAATTAGATGTGGCATCTCAATTACATCGTATCCAAATTCTGGGTGAGTTTCAAGCGTCCCATCCCCTGCAAGCTGCAAGACGCTAAGGGAAAAGCCTTGAATTAACTGGCAAATGAGTAATCCAAATGTAATATTGCTTATCTATTTATAAAGACAAAAGTACCCATGAACTATCGAGAAAACTACTATTCACACCCCCATATAACATATACTTAAAATGTTCGTCATGATGAGAAACCTTGTGCAAAACTATCCATTATTTCATAAATTGCCCTTTAAGGTAATTCCTTTATAAAGGGAACTTTCCGTATACCTAATGTTAAAAATACCTCAGCAATACTTATTTGTACTTATTTATATTAACTCGCCTCTTGCTTTGCTGAATACGTTCATGAGGAGTGTTCATATTCACAGGAATCTGTGGCCCATGTTAAGAGCAAATGCAAAAAAATTCACCAACCTTTTTTACAAAATAAAAAAAAAAACATAATACCATTTGGATAGATAACGTATGGCGGATCATAAATGGTGAAAACTCATGTTTGTCCTAACCGGTATTTGAAACGAGATATTTGTAAAACAAGGAAAACGGGATTTATAAAAACTAGGATTAAGAGGTTTAAAATTAAACAAAACAGGACAAAAAAGGTAAATTGAGTAATCACGTTAGATCCTTTCAATCAGGATGGATCAGTTTGAATATGCCAGGGATTAATATGACATGAAACATAACATAGCAACAGAGCTATAACGTGTGGATAAACAGAGCTCAAACTTTGAATACGATTCTGAAGCAGCCTACATTGTTGTAAAATAAATATTTACTAAAATAATATTGATTGATGTTCTAGGAAATGTTGAAACATCAAACAGCTTACCCAAATGTGTGTGAGAAATTTATTTGATGTTTTAAGGATGAAAATTACACAAAATATTATTTAAACGTAACAGACTTATCAAACAAACAATATTGCCTGCTTGTTAAGTTTTGGTTTTAAATGTTTGTATGATGTACGTTTTTGCTGTTGAAAAATAGTTGTTGTGTCTTGACAGCACAAGTCAATCAACCTGTAGACATCCCAACCTTAATCATTTCGTTCCTCAATTTTTATGTTTTTTTTTTCAACATTGATTTGCCTGTATTTTATCATGTTACATGTAATTTATGGAGTTGCTATTTATTCTTGAAACTAGAGTTTTTATCCTGTGGTTATTTTGTTCTTATTACTCATAGTCTATTGTATTGTTGAATTCTGCTAGTTTTTTTAAATAGAAAATCATTATATCTAGTTTATCGTTAGTATGTCTTGTTCTTGCTAATCTTGTTGTCTCCAGTCATTTTACTACTCTTGTACTAAGCTAGTTAGTTGTCACACAGAAGCCTTTTATTTTCCTGTAAATAATAGTATTTTACTGATTTTACTTCACAACACAACTTTAATCAATTTGTTCCTCTATTAATCAATTGGATCTGTTTTTATCAACATTTTTTCCGTATTCATTCATGTTGATGTATACTTGCATAATCAAAGATAACAAGTAATTGGTTGCTAAGCTGCTTCTTTCCTGTATGGTTTTGTTTGTTTGCTGTGCATGGTTTCCCGCTTAGCAGATGCGGTTTGCTTTGAACTTTTGTGTGTGCTAGCGTGTTTGCTTGATATTATTATTATGGTATATAGTTTAAATTGTGCATGTTACATTCACAGAGCATAGAATAAACATAGAGTCGACATTCCTATACCTACAGCTAAACCAGTAGTGAAGCCGATTTTCGCCATCTTGGTAAGAGAGTCGGGCTCGGAACATTGAAAACACGGCGTTATTCTATTCTATTTTATGAATTAGACGAAGCTACCGCTCCGAGGATACATATAGAACTATCCCCCCTTCGATATTGACCTATGACTCTGCCCCGCGGGCTTTCAAAGTTCTGAGGTGAGAGTTTTAAAAGTAAATATTGATTGGTGGTGTCCATGGTAACAATATAAGGGTTTAAATGTAAATGCAGACCGGGCCTGCCGCCATCTTGGTACGAGAAGCCTGCTTCACTCCAGACGGCAAGTGTCGCCTCTATATTTTTATTCTATGCTCTGTGGTTACATTTTAATGCTTGTTATGACTTAGCCTATTGTACACTCTCTGTATTCAATTATATATTCATTTCTCGTTACTCTTAGTTCTTTGATTGTCCAAGTCTTTAAATGTACTGTATTCTTATAGTATTGTTACTTTAGGTAGCCTATTCCATTGAGTGTTATCATAGACAACAGAATTATATAATTCTTTTTGTCTATGGTGTTATTCTCGATTATTACCATAGGCTATTTAGTCGTGATGAGCATTTCACAACTTGTACTTAAACTATAAAATTTGCGTAAATCCGCTGGCAAATAAAAAAATTAATAAGTAAGTAAATGGCAAAATAAATAGTTTGATTTAACATTTTATCAATTTTTGATTTAATGTTGCATGGCATTTTTGTGTTACTAGAGTTTTACATATTATTTTTGTTCTAGTTGTTCAGAGCCTGTTGTTATTTATTCTGCTAGTTATTTATAGAAACTCACTATTCTAGAGATTATCCTTATAATGTATTGCTCTTGTTGTCTCCAGTTTTTTTTTCACTACTTACCTACTGGCACTAGATTAGTTAGTTGTCACACAGCAGTATTTTCAATTGTGAATCCGTTTCCAACAAGAAATAAGATACATTATACCACAAATATTAGAACACAAACGGTATGAATCAGAAACATAAATAAATAACATCACTGACCTAAAAGAATTTTTTTAAATATTTTAATTCAATTGTCATGAAACTTACAAACCAGCTGTTGCGGCTATTAGTATAGACAATCGGTCTAGTGAAGTAATTTGCTTAGTATAGACAATCGGTCTAGTGAAGTAATTTGCTTAATGATCCATACCGGTTCTGTTCTAATATTCGTGCAAGATGCTTTGTAGGGGAAGCTTTAATTTGAGCCACTTAATTTTGTATACCACATGTTGTATAGTTAATTAAACAGCTTTAGAGTTAATTATACAGCTTTATAGTTAATTAAACAGCTGTAGAGTTAATTAAAACAACGTGTCAACTAGACAGTAACGCAGGTGATATAGGCTGTTAATTAATTCCGACGATATATGGTTCACTGGGTTCAATTCATCATGAAATTGTACTTATCATCAAGCGTTAACATTAGTCTGGCGCAAATAGTGATGCGTCAAAGTTTGATATATCCGCCATTGATGGACTGTGATGGTATAATACATCTAGTTTCCACGGTAAAAGCATATAACATTTCGCTAAATAGGCACCCTTTTGTATTTTGTGGCTGCATCTCATTTTAGGAAATAGAAATGCTAACATTTTTTTAAAATATGTTTTACATTTCCTCTTCAGGGAGTAAGGCTCATATGGGTACATTAACTTTATTTCAATTTTTTTGTATTATTCTCAAACACCCACATTTGTACAGTGGTTACTATTGGTTACATTAACTTCTCAAAAGTTGGTAGCACTGATTCCTTTCCTTCCCACATGTTTCTAAGGCAACGAAATATTCAGTTGAAAGGGACACTGTGTGAGGTTATGTGTGACTCAGTGAATTTGCGAACTTTGATGTGTTCTGAAACCCATTTATAATGTACATATACACTTAATAATTTTTGTTTATGATATTTTATGCTTTCGCCTTTCAAATAATATTTAGTTTACTACATTATCTTTTAAAACGAAACCAGAAATTTTATTTTAATATCTGTACT